AGTTTGTTTCCTTACAGAGAGAATAATCTGAACTTCCTAAATGTATAAAAGTTTACTATTGATAAGCTAATATTAACATTACATGTTTAAGATCCTGAAAAATATAAATATGTTCAACAAAACTGAATCATTCTCACATTTAACAGTAATTGTTTCTGTGTGCCTTAAACTATTAATAATTTCTATGATCTATACATAACTTAAAACTTAGTATTAAATTGAGCTAACGAATGGATACTTCTTGGATGCCTAGATATGTTCTTGCATAATTTTATGTCTACATCGTTTTGCTTATTTTTATATGCTGCAGAGTCTACAACTCTGAGTCACAGTAATGAATGTCTTCATGTTTGCCACTTGGCAGTGTATAAAAACGGTTGTGGTGGCTGTATAAAGTTGTGTTCTATCATGCCTTTTGCAGCAACATGGATGCAACATGGATGCCTGCAGCAACTTGGATGCAACATGGATACCTGGAGGCCATAATCCTAAAAGAATGCAGAAACAGAAAACTGTCAGGCCTCTGAGCCCAAGCCAAGCCATTCTTGCACGTACATGGCCCAGATGGCCTGAAGTAACTGAAGAATCACAAAAGAAGTGCAAATGCCCTGCCCCACCTTAACTGATGACATTTCACCACAAAAGAAGTGAAAATGGCCGGTCCTTGCCTTAAGTGATGACATTATCTTGTGAAATTCCTTTTCCTGGCTCATCCTGGCTCAAAAAGCTCCTCCACTGAGCACTTTGTGACCCCTACTCCTGCCGCCAGAGAAAAACACCCCTTTGACTGTAATTTTCCTTTACCTACCCAAATCCTATAAAACGGCCCCACCCTTATCTCCCTTCGCTGACTCTTTTCGGACTCAGCCCACCTGCACCCAGGCGAAATAAACAGCCATGTTGCTCACACAAAGCCTGTTTGGTGGTCTCTTCACACAGATGCGCATGACAAAAACCAAATACATGTTCTCAATTGTAAGTGGGAGCTAAGTATTGGGCACACATGGACGCAAAGGTGACATTAATAGACGCCGGGGACTACTAGAGTGGCGAGGGAGGGTAGGAGGGGCTGAAAAAATTGAGTAGTATGCTCAGTATCTGGGTGACCAGATCGTTCGAATCCGAAACCTCATAGCCAGGTAACAAATATGCAGTGTACCCCCTGAATCTAAAAGTTCGAATTATTTTAAAAAA